TTTTTTGTTCACTTGTAAATATAGAAAAAAATTTTTTATAATTAAAATTGCAATTTTTTCAATTTTAATTATAAAAATTATTTTTTTATATTTATAAGTGAACAAAAAATTCTAGAATATTCTAAAAAATATATATTAAAAATATAGATTATTATTTTTATTTTATTATAAAAATAAAAAATATTTATTAATAAAATAACAAATTTTAATATAAAGCAATAATATTAATTTTACTATATTTTACTATATTTTTTTTTCAATTTCTGGTAATATAATATAGGAGTGTATAGATATTTTAAACTATTTATATTATAATTTTAAAAAAATTTAAATATAATAAAAATAATTATTTGATTATATTAATTTTTATTATATATATTTTCAAAAAAATTAATATAATTATTGAATTAATAGATATTAATATTACTTTTTAAAACTCAAAAAATTAAAACCAGAATTTTAAAGCACTTTGAACTAGTTTCAAAACCAAATTAATTAATATTTTAAAATTTTAAATATAATAGCTAACAAAATTATGTTATTTATTAATAAAATATAGTAAAAATTAAAATTTGTGTATTATATAGTAATTAATAGAATTATAAAATTATATATACAATTTTATTAATAAAATATAATAAAAATTGAAATTTTTATCTTTTTATAATTTTGTAAATTACTTTTTTTTATTTAAATATATAATTTTATAATATAGTATCAGAAATTTTAAACATGAATTTGTTATTTTAAAATTTGCTATCTCAATATCCAATATTTCTATTTGAACAAAAATATTACTATTAGATTTGTATAATCAAAATGAATTTAATAGTATATTTTTTTCAAATAGAATCACTAAATATTGAGATATTAGATTTAAAAGTAACAAATTCATATTTGAAATTTCTGATAATATATTATAAGAGTATATATTATAAAATTTTATTATATTATAGAATTTTATATTAATAAAAAATTAAAAAATACTATTTATTATTTCCAGTGATCAGTAAATATTCTTTAATTTTTGTATTTTTAAAAATATATAATTCTAATAAGTATTGATGATTTTTTTTAATTATGATACTTTTGTTTTTAATAATAATAAAAAACTATACTTAAAATACCAATTACATGCACATGACTTATTTCATTTTGGTTCTAAATTTAAAATTAATTTCTGTTCACTTGTCGAACAATCACGTGCTTATTATGACACTTATTATTTGCTAAGTGATTTAATTATAAATAATTTGAATGTAAATAAAATGTGACTCGTAATTGAACAATCAAATTTGAATTAGTACTAGTCAAAAATGGGCATAAGTTAATAGACCAATCCAATTGTAAAGATCAGGTGTAACATACAAATTTGACCTTAATTAATTATAAGACATGAAAAATGGTAAATATAATGATTCTTTGCTAATTGTTTTAGGTCATCACTAACCTTTGTCACTCGCGGGAAATATGCAATCCGAGGATGTTCACTTTGAAGGATTTAAAAAAAATGACGAATTCATAGCATTTGTTATTCTCTTAGCACATTTATTATTCATTCCATACAATCCGCTTCACATACGAGAATAAAGTCCATGGCTATGTCTACTAATATTTCATATTTCGATACCCTCGCATTAAATATTCTTAACAATGAGTCTAAAGAAAATCGCAAGTTGTGTTAATATTCCGGTGCTCAATATGCAATGCTGAATTTTTTTACACCGAGTAAAAAGACATTCACTGTACTTATCTGGGAAATTTATGTCACATCTCTGTATCCTAATGCAATCTAAATATCTTCATTTTGCATTTTTCAAAGCTTCTCAATAGTACAAGAAACATTCTGATTTACACCAAGGAACATGAATTAAACTTGAATAGTATAAGTGACACGCATTTGCATCATGTATTAAATGAATTCAAATTTGACATACAAAATTTAATTCTTAAATACAAAAGGTACGAATTAAGTTTTGTACTAACGTCTGAAAAATCAAAAGCTAACAAGATGTCTGGTAGGTTTGACAGCTGTAGTCTTAAAATTTTCCTAGTATATACATGTAATAATTACTTAAATAGTATGTGACACAGCATTTGGTGCAGACGCATCATGTATTAAATGAATTAAAATTTGGCATACAAATTTAATTTTTAAATACAAAAGTATAGTAAATTGTAATTTATTGTATTCATTAAGAAATGTAGTACATGTATATAATAGTGAGATAAGGATTATTAAAGTGCATAATTCTTTAACATCTGAAAAATCAAAACTAACAAAATGCCTGGTAGGTTTGATCAGCTGTAGTCTTTTAAAGAAGCTTGCGTTGATGCTCAAATAGCAAATATTTCTTTTTGACATTAGATAATCGTGAAGAAATAGCCAAAAGTATATCTTGCTATGGATTGCCATATGGAACATGGGGGTTAGCCTGCTGGTTATTTGCGTCTGTCACCACTTTTCTCACATACGCGAGACCTCCCAAAAGACAAGATATGCCATTATTCATTGCCAAAATTGTTATGACAGTAGGTCCAGTCATATTTACATGTATCCGTTGTCATGGGGAATGGGTATTTGTACTTATAGCATGTGGGAAGCTTGCTCCATGGGCTCTCAAAATGCTTAATGATCGTATAACTTTACGATTTAAGAAAAGAAGCACATTACTGGCGGTAAAAGGACTTTTCCAATATTCTGCAAATCCAGCAGAAGAAAAGCAACTTGATGAATATGACTCAGATGATGGAGATACTACAAATGAAACCGTAACTAAAGCAGTGAATACGATCCTCGCCGTTTGTGCTGTCTTGACGATAATTATACTGTGCATTGGTGGTTGGGTAGCTTTGGTAAAGTTTGTTTTAATTGTGTCGCCGCCAAAGTATAATGACTCGGTTAACGTGGCTTCGGCGTGGATAAGTGTAATAATCGCATCGATAATATTTATAATAGTTCTATTCTGTGTTTCATTTTGTCTCTGTTCGTGCATGAATAAGATATCAGAATGTTTTGGATCATCTGGGGACATTGCGAGTATTGTGGTAGTTTACTTTGTAGTAGCATCTCATGTCTTGTTTTCGCACATACTTCTTGCTGATCTTTATAAGAATTGGAATGGGCTTGCCTCTGAAAAATATGCAAGAATATCGGCCATTATTTTCCTTGTTGGAAGAAATCTGCATATTATAGATTTTATACAATATCTGTATGAATCTTATCGTAATCGTTAATTTTATTTATAGACTTTATTTTATTTATAGACTTTATTTTATTTATTATTATTAGTATCATAATTATTATCATTATTGTGGCGGCTGAAATCCGTGCTCCCTATTGACTTATTAATTTTTATTCTCTAATCTCATTGATCCATTTCAGCTTCAGCCAATCTAAATAATCTGCTTTTATTCTCTCTATTGCTTCATTATCTATTTAAGAGAAACCCAGATTATGGAAAAATCTTGAAATTGCTTCTAATTATTCATCAGATTCCTCAAATTATTAGAGGTGAAGAAAAAATGGCAATAATATCAGAGTATAAAGAAATAATAAAATAAAATAATCATTATTTATCATTTTTACACAATATACTAATTATTCAATATATAGAATTCAGATAATTTGGAATCAAGAATGCCATTTATAAATACAAAATAAATATTTAATCTTACAGTTTCATTCTTAATTCTTTTGAAAGACTTTAAAGAAACATCACTAAATAATATTATTAATAATCATATATATCTACAAGAAGTTAAATGATCCAATGAGATTTATTGCAATTTTATAGAACTTATAACAGAATATCAATTATCAAATATCTGTGATGATAAAATAATTAAGTAATTTAATGCAAGTATTAACAAAGAAGAAAGTTTTTTATCTAAAAATACCAAAGAGATTATAAATTTTTTAATCAGACTGAATTTTCATATTTTAATTTTAAAAAAGTATCTATAACCAATTTTCAAGAAACAAAGTATATTTTTTATTACTGACCAATAATTTAAAACATTAAGATTCTTCTATTTTAATCTGAAATTAGTGATAAATTTGCTTTATTATATTAAAAAAACTAAAATTAGAAATAATTAGAAATTACAAATTTATAGTATAAGTGACAGAAAAAACAAAATTGACTATATCTTTTGATAATTAATTAGAAAAAATAATAGAAAATTTTATATATCTTTTGCTTGATAATATTCCTAATTGTTAATAAAATAAGCCTTATGTGAAGATATTCAATGAATATTTATTAAAACTAAAAGCTAAATATATATATAATACTAAATTATTCCAATAATTACAAAGACAAATTTTTTAATAATATTTTTATATATTATTAATATATATTTAAATTAACAAAATATAAATTTTATAATAAAAAATTAAATATATATATTTATATCTAAAATATTAATTATTTTTATAATATAATAGAAGTTAAATTATTTATTAGAATATATTTTTTATTAATATTTAAGCAATTTTGTTATACTTATTATATAATTAATAAAAATCTTAATAATATAATATTATTTAATATAATTTGCTAAATATCAGAAAAATACAAGTAATAATTAATGCAAGATAATTAAAAGAATATTTAATTTATAAAGAGAATAATTTTTTATAAAAATTTTGAATTAATACTGTTACACATTTTTCACTGATAGGGTAATTAGCTAATAAACATGAATAAGGATTGGGAGAGATAATTAAACATATATAAGAAAAATATGAAAATAATATCTAAGTCCTATGTCAATTTCTACTGAAATTGTTATAGTTCAAGAAGGGAAAAGAATAAGGTAATAGTATTTTAATTAGATATAGTGTTCCAAATAACCATGCTAACTAATTAATTTACGAATTATTTAATTGAAGTAACTAATAATTTAACTAACTAATTAAAATATCAAAAAATAACAAAAGTAACAAAGACTCTTTCACTTTGTTCTTCTCACAAAAAAAAAAGATTATGATGTCTTTAGTTGAGGAATTCCAAATAATTCGATTATAACAAAATATCAAAAGACTAGTCTATAACAAAATATCAATTCAATAATTCAATATCAACATTTTGATCAGCTCAATACAG